GAACAAGAAGTATTCCACGGAGAGCCTGCAGAGATGGTGGAGGAGATTCTGAGCTCACATTCCCTTCAACTGGAGTAGCCCTTCTTGGTCTGCTTTATAACCTGGACCTCTGAGAAAGATCCAGCCTATTTATTGGGGGTCCTTAATGCGTCTGACACTGCTCAAGGTGCTTAGGACACAACCTGAAAAATAAAAGATGCCTGCCCACTAGGGCTTAAATTGTAGCAGGGAAGACACACAATGAGTGGTGAACATAATGGGTTATTTGTCATGTTGCATGGTGATGAGTGCTTAGGGAAAGCACAGGATGGGGGCAGGGAGAGTGGGCTGCAGCTTAAACTGGGTAGGTCTCATGGAGAAGATGACATTTTGGCAAAAACTAAGCAGACAGTCATGCCAGTATCTGGGGAAAGAGGTGTGGGCATCAGCTACAGACTGTCTGGGGAAAGAGCATTCAGACAGAGGGTTCGGAGTTGCAGAGACCCCAAGGGGAAGGGTTCCTGGTGACTGGAGGAAGGGCTTGGAGACCTGGGTGGCTGCAGCAGGTGAGCCGGGGGTGGGGGAGAGCCTTGAGATGGGACACCAGGTGCTTCTGGGCACGTGGGGCTTTAAGGATGGGGACAGATTATCGCTGTAACCATTTTACACATTGGGAAATTGTGACTCAGGGAGGTCACGTGCATTCACTGAGGTCACAGAGCTGGAAGGTGGCAGTCTGGAAACAAGTCCTGTAGCCTCCTCTCAGTTACTCTTGGCAGGTCGCTGGGCACCAGGACTGGTCTGCTCCACGGTGTCCACATAAGTCTGTTGCGCCCTTGACTACTCTTTTGGTGCAGGAGAAAGACCACCTGGGACTAGTAGCCCCTGCTAATCTGCAAAGGATGTAAATTTAACACCCCCAGTGCCTGAACTGGGGAAAATACTGAACCCAATATATCATATACCTTTTCAAGTCAAGAAATTTCACCTTTCCACTTGAAGGAAGCACTTCACTGCTTCTCTCTGGCACAACCGAAGTGCCAGTATCACTGCTCTTGGGGCCATTATTACGTAAAATAAGGGTCACTTGAACACAAGCACTGTGATACAGTCAATCTGATAACCCAGAAGGTTACTAAGAGACTAATGGGTGGGTAGAGCATACTGCATAGATACGCTGGACAAAGAGATGATTCACGTCTAGGGCTGGATGGAGCTGAACAGTGCAAGATTGCATCACGCAGAAGGGCATGCAATTTAAAACTTAAGAACTGTTTATTTCTGGAATTTCCCAGTTAGTATTTCTGGGCCACGGTTGATGGTGGGTAACTGAAAGCATAGAATGTGAAGCCATGGAAAAAGGGGGACTACTGTAATTTGCTTTTCAAAATCAGTATTTTACTTAATTGAAAAACCCAGTTTTCCCTTAGGCTTTCAAGTCCGCCTTATAAATCTTGCTTTATTCTCGTTAGACATTGTAGATGCTCAATAAAAGTCTGTGGGTGATGTCCTTACATTTCAAAGATCCTCTTTCTTGCCTGATGCCTCAACAATGTACCCAATATATTCTACCTAGTACATCCCACTTCGTACATCCTGCAGTAAATCACACCAGAAAGGAAGAGAGAGCCTGCTGGCAGCCTGGGGTGGAGGTGCCACCGGGCCAGATGGAACTGATGAAAGGAGGTTAGGGGGAGGGCTGGGGTCCAGGCTCAGGGGCGAGTTCCTGCCAGGCCTTGTGCTGCGGCTCAGGGCATCAGGGACAGGAGACTCCAGAGGCCCCTGCATGAAGGAAGAGGGGAAATGCTTTCCCTATTCCCTCTCTTCCTTCTTATCCTAGCTCTGGAGAAGTATTTGTGAGGACAGAGTGGCAGGCTGGTTTTGCTTTCTGCCATGCTGATTAACAAGGGGCAGCTTTGCAGCAAAGGGCTGCCTCCAGTAGTCTATCTCGGTTCCTTTACTTCCTTGCTCTCCCCTCTGCCTCTCAGGACTCCAGCCCTCCCCTCCCCTGTCTCCCCTCCCCAGTTCTTTGGGTCTCAGAGCTCTCAGCCTCTCCCCCCTCCACATTTCCCTCCAAACCCCACGCTCTTTGTTGCTGAATTCAAGGTTCTCAATACAATAAAGCTTTGATGATTTGCCTCAATTGAGGAGGAATGTCAGCTTAAATGAATGAGGGTCTGAATAATAGAATTTTAAAGCAAGGTTTAGTTGCTTTCGTGTTGGAAGGCATCCTTTCCAGGGTAGAAGCTTTTGCATTTACATGCAGTTAAGAGCTCATGTTGAGAAATGGGGCAATGTGTCTTAGAGACCCTTTTACATGCTTCAACAGAAGAGCCCTTTATAATTGGCATATACTTTCTTTAAGTGTTTCTGCTCCTCAAGCCTTTCATTTTTAGTGACCAACATTTCTTATATCACCATGATTTTACTGGGCTTCTCACATATCCGCCACAGTTTCATTACCTAAATCCTTTATGACAGACATTTCTACTCTAAAAGTCTCTTTAGACATTTTAAGTTTTCAATTACACAAGCAATACCTGAATATGTTCATGTATAAAACCTTAAAAAAAATAACAACAAAAAAACCCCCCAAACCCTTAAAAACAACAATAAATAAAAACCTTATAAAATAATGAAAAAGTTTCTGTGTCCCAGGTTATAATGCCACTATCATTAAGATAGTACTAATGTATCATCTCTAATAAACAATCCCTCACAAAAACCACTACTTTGGACCCTATCTAAAAAAGGGAATCATCTACATCTGATTGGGTTTTACTTTCTTGCAAAATATGAGGAGTCTCTGAGGGAGTTAAAACTCCCAGTCTCTCCCATTTAGCACCATTAAGCTCAACTCCTCCCCCTAACCCCATTTCCTTACTGTATCTCTGTCACATTCCATCCCTACATCTCTGCCAGGAATGCTCACTAAGATGAATGTTAACAATGATTAAATCTAGATAAGTATACTTGGGTGTTCATAGACTGTTTCCTCTATGGTGCTGAATGTTTAAAAATTTCATAAAATAAGAAAAACTCACCAAATACTAAGAACAGCAATATGGCCAAGTGACCCTTGAAAGAAAAAGACGACCAGATCTAGTCGCCACTGTCCTCCTCCTCCTCCTAGGGATTCCCATGCCTTCGTGGGCAAGGCTGAGTTTCTTTTTTTTTTTTTTTTTTTCCATTTATTTTTATTAGTTGGAGGCTAATTACTTTACATCATTGTAGTGGTTTTTTTCATACATTGAAATGAATTAGCCATGGATTTACATGTATTCCAAGGCTGAGTTTCATTTACAGGTACTGCAACAAAAATTATGCGTGGTGTATTTCTTAGTAACATGCAGACTTTTGTAAATCCTTTCATTTACATTTATTTCCTTTGGGCGACAGGTAAGGCAAACATGGTCTGCATTTTACAGATGAGGAAACCAAGAGGTTTACTGACACTAGTAAAGTAATGCTCAAAATTCTCCAAGCCGGGCTTCAGCAATATGTGAACCATGAACTTCCAGATGTTCAAGCTGGTTTTAGAAAAGGCAGAGGAATCCGAGATCAAATTGCCAACATCCAATGGATCATCAAAAAAGCAAGAGAGTTCCAGAAAAACATCTATTTCTGCTTTATTGACTATGCCAAAGCCTTTGACTGTGTGGATCACAATAAACTGTGGAAAATTCTGAAAGAGATGGGAATAAAGACCACCTGACTTGCCTCTTGAGAAACCTAAATGCAGGTCAGGAAGCAACAGTTATAACTGGACATGGAACAACAGATTGGTTCCAAATTGGGAAAGGAGTATGTCAAGGCTGTATATTGTCACCCTGCTTGTTTAACTTATATGCAGAGTACATCATGAGAAACGCTGGGCTGGAAGAAGCACAAGCTGGAATCAAAATTGCCGGAAGAAATATCAATAATCTCAGATATGCAGATGACACCACCCTTATGGCAGAGAGTGAAGAGGAACTAAAAAGCCTCTTGATGAAAGTGAAAGAGGAGAGTGAAAAAGTTGGCTTAAAGCTCAACATTCAGAAAACTAAGATCATGGCATCTGGACCCATCACTTCATGGGAAATAGATGGGGAAACAGTGGAAGCAGTGTCAGACTTCACTTTTGGGGGGCTCCAAAATCACTGCAGATGGTTATTGCAGCCATGAAATTAAAAGACGCTTACTCCTTGGAAGGAAAGTTATGACCAACCTAGATAGCATATTAAAAAGCAGAGGTATTACTTTGCCAATAAAGGTCCATCTGGTCAAGGCTATGGTTTTTCCAGTGGTCATGTATGGATGTGAGAGTTGGACTGTGAAGAAAGCTGAGCACCGAAGAATTGATGCTTTTGAACTGTGGTGTTGGAGAAGACTCTTGAGAGTCCCTTGGACTGCAAGGAGATCCAACCAGTCCATCCTAAAGGAGATCAGTCCTGGGTGTTCATTGGAAGGACTGATGCTGAAGCTGAAACTCCAATACTTTGGCCACCTCATGGGAAGAGTTGACTCATTGGAAAAGACTCTGATGCTGGGAGGGACTGGATGGACATGAGTTTGGGTAAACTCCGGGAGTTGGTGATGGACAGGGAGGCCTGGCGTGCTGCGATTCATGGGGTCGCATAGAGCCAGACACAACTGAGCAACTGAACTGAACTGAACTGAACAATGCTGGCTCAGTTATTAGTTTCTTACTACGAAACAGGCATTCTTCTAGGCATCTACATGTATTAACTGATTTCATTCTCATAAAACCTCTGAGTTACATGCATAACTTGCTCAAGATTACAAAGCTAGTAAGTGGTGGGCTGGAATATGAACCGAACAGTGTACTCTCGACCCTGAGCTCTTAAACACCTACATCCTCATGTGATGACATTATAGATGTCTTTCTAGTATTCTGAGAATGGAAATCTGCCAGCCTCCAGGGTTCATTTAGACTGTAACTGTGTTTATTTGACCTATAGTATTTTATAATTTTTGAATTACTTTCCATAATGTAAAGATTTATTTACAGAAAAATGTCATCTGAAGATCCAGATTTCTGGCTTCCCTTGAAAAATCAGAAGTTGTGGCAACATTATCTCCTTTAAAAGGAGGTAATTAAGGTTAAATGAGGTCATAAGAGGAGACCCTAATCCAAGGTGTCCTAAGAAGAAGAGGAAGAGACACCAGAAGTGCACATAAATAAAGGCCACATGAGAACACAGCAAGAAGGCATCCATCTGCAAGCCAAGGAGAAAGGTCCCAGGAGAAACAAAGCATCTGGTACCTTGATCTTGGACTTCTAGCTTCCGGAGCTGGGAGAAAATAACTTTCCGTTGTTTCAGTTCTTCTGTGGTATCTATTATGGCAGCCTTAGCAGACGAAGACAGCAAGGAATTGTTTCCCATGCACCCCCTGCCCATCTGTTCTACCTCCCTAGCCCCTGGCCCCTTTCCTCAGCACAGGTAATCACCTAACACCTAAGGGCATTTGGATCAGTTATTAAGAGGAGTGGTCAGCAACCCCAGACAAGAAGTTCTGTTACTTCTGCAGGGTGCAACCACCACCATCAGATGGTCTGGGAGGGTGGGGAAAGGGCTGGGAAGAGGCCACTATTGAGGTCACTACCAGCGAGATGCACTCAGGGCATTTTTTAAAACTTGAAATGGGGAGATGCTGCCTGAAGTACACAGCATAAGGAGACTCGGGAGCTGAGATGTGGGGTATTAGCAAAACTCAAGGTGGGTTAAGGAACATTAAGAGTTATAGGTCCATCCAGCTACTACAGGTCCACCCAGGCCATTGCTTGGGTTTAGCAAACTGTTCTTGTCTGCAGAGTCTGAATTAACCTTAAACAGAGTGATGGTCAGAATAATTACTGCAGAATTGGTTTCATCTTAAGCTTTTCTATGGGTCTCTTCCAGGTGTTCTAGTTAGAGAGGCTTATATTTTTAACACAAAGATAGGTGGTTGTTTGCTGATTAACCCCTGAGGGGCCTGGAGAACTGGGAGAAAGCCAAACTGGCTTCTGCTCCATCTTTGCATCAACTTTCAAGCTGTTAGAGTGGCAATGATTGTGCAGCGGGGATGACGGCAGGGAGAGACGTCAGACAAACCCCAGGTGGGCCCTCAGATCCCAGGGGACAGCCAATAGCAAGAGACTTCAAACCCAGATTCCAAATGGAATGAGCAGAGATCTGGAAGTAATCCAGTGAAACTGGCTCTAGAATCTCACAGCAACAGGTTTAGAAACACCATTAGTACCACCTTCTCTGCCATCTTAGATTCCTAGGGAAACTGCAATTTTGTTGTTGCTGTTCAGTTGCTCAGGGGTGTCCGATGCCATGGACTGCAGCACCCCAGGCTTCCTTGTCCATTACCAACTCCCAGAGCTTGCTCAAACTCATGTCCATTGAGTCGGTGATGCCATCCAACCATCTCATCCTCTGTTGTCCCCTTCTCCTGCCTTCAATCTTTCAGCATCAGGATCTTTTCTAATGAGTCAGCTCTTCACATCAGTGGCCAAAGTATTGGAGCTTCAGCTTCAACATCAGTCCCCCCAATGAATATTCAGGACTGATTTCCTTTAGAATTGACTGGTTGATCTCCACAGTTCAAATTTTAGTCAGTACATAAAAGTGTCAGTCATAGGACAAGGTTTGACCTGTGATTTAATCAACACTAATGTATTCAGAGCTCAGGAGAGAGCAGGAAAATACAGGGCTGTCTAGATTTCCCTTGAATTCATTTCTCGCTTCATGTCCAATGAAAGGAATATGGAAATACTGAAATTTTAATGTAGATGGTTTGGGTTGTGTTTTTATCATCTGATGAGGGATAAAGGCAATGGTTTATAATGAATAAAAGGCAAAGCTCAGTTTCACAAGTCAATTTTTCCCTAATCCTCTATTGATGTGTGGAATTCAGACAAGCACAATTTCTCTGACTCAGTTGAAATAGGGCAACACCACACATGACCAGTCCTCCAAAAACATCATGAAGATTTGAGAAAACTGCCAATGAAGAGCTTTGTGCATCTTGGGAGGACACAATTGGCAAAGACCTTATTTAAACAGAGTCCTTCATTTGTGTTCTAAACCTTACTTTGAAAGTAAATTTTTTGGCACTTACTACTCAAGGATCTGAGACCAGGGCTCCCTGAAGCCTAGGTGGGGCCAGGGAAAGGCAAGGATCTGGGATGGAGACTTGGAATGCTACAGTTCATCCAAGCATTCTGTAGTTCATCATTGGGGGTCAGAAGGTCTTGAGGATTAGTTGAGCTAGAATATCTTCCCCCTCTGCTTGGTCAGCATTCCTCAGTGGAAGTTTTTCTTGCTTCTGCTGATGTCTGGTTTCGGCAAGAAGGAAATTGCTATAAAGATTGGGAGAAAGAGGAAAGGGTCTTGCTTCTGGTAGGAATGAGATTTTCTTTAGCTAAAAAAGGATTTTATTTCCACTCCTCCTTTCATATCACACCTCCCCCAATTTTCCTTCTGTTCTCACATACATGTTAAGATCTCTTCCTTCCTTCCCTTTCATACACCTCTATGGTTGGGTATTTTCACAGGATGAGAAGCAGGATACAGAAGTCAGGGGTATGTGCATGCATGCTACCTTGCTTCAGTCATGTCCAACTCTTTGTGATCCTATGGACTGTAGCCCACCAGGTTCCTCTGTCCATGGGATTCTTCAGGCAAGAATACAGGAGTGGGTAGCCATTTCCTCCTCCAGAGGATCTTCCCAACCCAGAGACTGAATTCTCATCTCTTATATCTCCTGCATTGGCAGGTGTGTTCTTTACCAACAGAACGACCTGGGAAGCTAGAAGTCAGGGGTGGGGGATGAGCAATAGTGGGGGACCAGGCTGTGATAGGCGGGGGGGGGGGGGGGGGGGGGCGGTCTACAGTGATGAGAAGGGGAGACAGAAGAAAGAGAGAGAATGAGAATCTGTGCAGCAGTCTGGTTAAGGGTACAAACAGTGCACTCTGGTTCATCATTCCTGTCTCACTCTCCATGGCCTCTCTAATGGAGTTGCCTTGCCCACATCTGCTACTGCTTAGGCAGCCGTGCTTTCAGCTCCTCCTTCAGCCCACAGTAGACTGGCTGGCTAGTGACCAATGATGTTATCTGAGAAAAAACAATAAGATGAGTCTACGCCAATCATATTTTCTCCTAGGAATTCCAACTACTAAATACCAAGGAAAAATGCCAACAGACTTGCAGTTGAAAGGCTGAGGTGGACAGAGAGGCGCTCAGGAGACCAGGACATGCCAGCTGAAGTTCTGAATGAGCAGAACTGTAGTATGTAGGGCATGTCTGCTGGGAGAGGCAGTTGTCTTGGGCATGTATGCAGAGAGAAGCAGAGACTCTAAGGCAGCGAAGCCCCAGGGTTGCCTTTGCTCCTCAAGGTTTTCCAGTTCCAAACCCCTTACACCCTTAACAACATCTGTTCCTTTTTACCTGAGCAACTGAGTTTCTTCTCAATGGAAAGAGCCTAACTATAATCGTTTGCTCAAGTTCTTGTAAGTAAGCTGAAATTGAATTATTATCTGAAGACATTTGCTTTGGGGAAAATGAATAGGTTGGTTCCCTTAGCAAACATGACCTACCACCACGGCTTACTTGGAAGCATCCTGCGTTCTTGAGATTAGGTTTTAGGCAGGAAATGGTGTGACCCAATTTCTCCTTTTGTTCTTCTGATGTCAAAGCAAGTGAAAACTACATTTCAGTCCTGAAGAAAGGAGATCTTGGCATCTACAAAGAACTGGTTTAGTCTAAGAAAGGTAGGACCTTTTAAAGTTACTAAGAGCCATGTCAACAAATCTCTCTAAGGGAAGCTTCAAAAGCATGCATTTTTACTTAGTTCAAAAGAGCAGAGAGGTGTGGCAGCCATATTGGTTCACCAGCGAGATCTCGTGAATCATTTCTCATCTCGGATTTCAGGGCTCAGGAGGGCTAAACTGGAAGGAAAACTGAGAGCAGCTCTTGTCAATATGAGACCGCAGCCATTATGTCCACAGCCTCTTGGAAATGTCCCCCAGCAAGGCTGCCATCAGCACTTGACTGAAAACACATGGAAGCAGCCCACTCAGAGCAGGAATTCATTATTGGAAGAATAATAAGGGAAAGTTTCTTTTTTCTTCTCTCTCTCTCTGCTGCTGGGAAAGCTGCTTTCTGGAAAAATCACAGGGCTTAGAGGGAATTTGAATCATGTCTGGTAACAAGGGACAGAATGGAGGCGGAAGGGCACATTTCCAGAAGTCTTTTCACACAAAGCATGATGGTCCTGGGCAACTTAAGGTGAGTTGTTCTGTCTTAGATGTTATCATTTAAATTGGGCCATGGCTGCCTTTAACCCATTATCCTTTCTCAGAGCTATTAGTATCGATCGCTTAAGGGGAAAGAACCCAAAGTTAATTGATTTTCTTTTGCTACTCCTCTTTTTCAAAAAGGTCACCATTTTGTGGACTAAAGTGGCCTACAGAACTATTTGGTCTTCAATTCTCAACTCTACCCCATAAGTCTTCGCTAAATGCCCAGTAATCCAAGGGAAAGGAACAAGGGGTGGATGTGAAAGAAGGAGATGTTTACCACTTGCTGGGTCTAGAGTATGTGGCAGACATTGCAAGTGTTTACCAATCTCCAGTTCTCCTTTCCTTCCCAATACAGTTGAGGTTCCCAGCTCCTTGGAGTTGGGGATGGGTGGATGCATGATTTTACTTGGCCATGAAAGAAGTGATTATGTGTTGTTTCTTGGAAGAGGCACTTAATTGCTAGTATACAACACCTCCCCTCATTGGCAAATGTGAAATGCATGTTGATACTGAATTGAAGTACTGAATCACATCACACAGAGGACAGCCTCCCGGGAGGGTCTCTCAGATATGCATAGATGTGGTTTTAAGTCACTGAGATTTCAGGGAGTAGCTTTCAGCAACAAAAGCAAGTCTGTCCTGACTTAGGCCCACTATTGATTGGTCTTCTCTCCTCCAAGTTCTGTTCAGAGTTCTGGAGCACTTGTGCTACATCTGAATTCCACCTTCCCTGAATTCAGAGAAGTAGGCCATGTGCTTTTTCTCCCACTTAGGTTATTCATCTGAGAGGAGTGATGAACTGTTTCCCTCCATCTGAGCAAAAGTGGCCTCTGCTGAATTCTGTAACAGAATATAATATATATCCTTTCATAGCCATCAGACAAAAGTGATGGCGACAGTATTAAAACCAAAGCTTAGGGAAAAAATGACACTCCCAAGTGGTTCTAAGACCATGCTCTTTTAGGTTAGAATCTGATATTTTTGACTTCCTCTTACTTTCATTCCCCTCTCCTCCATCACCTAACCCTCACTGCCAATTGCCAGGATTCCTATTTGGCAATCCTGGTTTTGCAGGACAAACTTCTACAATCCCATCTCCGGCATTTGTT